ATCATGGTCCCACAACTAGGTTATAGATTTAGTTTATTTTTGCTCAAGTTGGATGATAAAAAATTATAATGTCTAGTTTCTTTAAAGAATGTATTTTTAAGAATTCACATATATGCCGGCTTGGACAGACTCAGGCCAATTTCTTTTTTTTGTTTATGAAAATTGTTTTCTTTTCAATATTGTCATTCACCATTTTGTTTGCTGGGAATTGAAATTCATGTATTTTTTTCAATTTTTTTCTATAAAATTATCTTATTCTCATTTAATTTTTATTTTGTTAACAAATAAGATTATTGAGATGTTTTAGTAATATTGTAAGGATATATTTTCATAATATTTACAGTCGTTCATCTTTTGCATTAAATTGTTATTGATTTTTTTTATTTTATTTGTTATTGATATCTTATTTTCTAATCATATTATTAAATTAACTGACCTTATTAAATCCATTCAAGTCAATAACTATAATCTCATATTTTATTTTTTTAAGAATATTTACATCATCATGATATTTTTTTTACATTGAAAAAAATAATAAATTGGCTCGCAATATAGCGCGAACCATCTATCTAGTACACACACATAAAAAATAGGTAAGTAGTACTCTCCAACTCATATATAAGTGGAGCCAATAGATATTTTCAGAACGCGTTTAATTTTTATGGAGATAAAAAGTATACTACAGAATGTGTTTATTTTTGTATTCAAAAAGTGTTTATAAATTTTTTTTTGCTTTTAATTATTATTTTATAATTTTAGATTGTTTTTATGTAATGATATTAATTTTTTTAAAAAAATAATAAAAAAAATATTTTATTATATTTTTATATAAAAAATAATTTTTTTTAAAAAACCGCTATTATAATTTCATGCATTGACACGGCATTTACCAAACGTTTCTTTTTCAGATATTTTTAACAAAGTGTCTCCCATCCGCAGTAAATTTCTAAGAAAAACGAATACAATTGAAAGTTGAAACTGGAGGGGAGCTGGAAGACTCCTATAGCAAGCCCCTCGTGCGGCAAGGTGTCTCATAAACACCCCATCTAATTAACCAACAGCTAGCCATAGATCTATTTATTAGTTTTAGTGAAACAAAAAACAATTAGATTTTTCAGATGGTTTCATTAAGGGGTCTTCAAGAAAAAAAGATTAGCACAAATTTTGTAGTGAGATAGGAATACGTGGAATCTTCGGCACCACTCATCTTCTCTGTTCATATTCATAGATTCCATGTCAATTTAGTAAATGCTGGGATCACAATAAAAAACCCCTCAACCACTCGCTCTGCTGAAGATTCAGCACATAAAGGATTCATAGATTTCCATTTGACATCACTAATATAGGAGGAGAAGCAGACGGATCCAAGGTGAAAATGATTCCTTTTATGATGCATGAAAGCAGAAACACAAAGCTCAATCAATTGTTAAGGAGACATGGGACCATGAGGGGCTCGAAGCAGCAGGAGGAGGCAGTCTATAATCTGTGTGCTCAATGGCATGTTTACCACGGGCCTAGCCCACAGGATTCACCTTTTTGCCTCCTGGGTGGCATCAGAACTCAAGACGCAGCCTTGAAAACGCAGAATTTGCCAGCCCTTCTGGGTTGTAATTTTGTGTTCATGAGCTCTGTTGCTCTTCAGAATGACAGATACTGGTCTGCCAGCTGCAATCTTAGGTAAGCTGTCAATTTCTTGTTTGTTCACATTCACTTAATAGTCACCGTCGGCATGTCTATTCGCATCAATCTCAACCAATCACTGCTGCATTTAGCCACGACTTTTGGTCACAAAATATGGTGTCCTGTAGTGCCACCTGACCTTAAAATTTTAATCGATAGCAAATCAACATGAGGGCTGCTTGAAATTACTTATGATGTTTTTTAAAATATTTTTTTAAAATTGATTTTTGATATACAATTGAAAGATAATAAAAAAATTAATTTTAAATAAAAAATAATGTTTTTAAAAAATCCTATGACACTCGTGAACACATCGAGTCTGGTGGAAGCTACTTGTATGGCTGGCGTAGATTGGCAGGATATGGGATCTCATCTTCATATCAGATGACTTCATGACTTCCCTCTCTGGCCATGAGATTGATTGATGGATCATCTTATCTTATCTTACATATAATGAAAGACAGACTCCACAGTCCAAGCTTTTGATTAGATTTTTTTTTTCCAGCTTGTCCCGTTCTTGAAAAAAATAGAAAAAGATAACCATTTATTTGAATACAAATTTATGATAACTGGTATGTTGTTATGTTGTTACGCAATTGCGATTTATAGCGCATTGATATTATTATTTTTAAAATATAAAAAAGATATTAAAAATATTTGATTATTATTTGAATCTTCACAGCTAAGTAATTTAGATGAGACTTAAGTAAATATAAATTTAACATAACTTTTTAAATTTAAAAATAATAAAATAATATCAAAATATCTCCAATAATTATAAAAAATTACACAAAAAATAGTATAAAAAAACAAAAATACTACATGTGCAAAGCTTTTTTTTTTTCAAGGCTAAAGATGTATTTTAATTATTTAATAATTTATAAAAAATTGAAAAACCCCGCACAATATGTCTTGATTTTGTTAACATTAAGGGTAGAATAATATTTTTATTATACAAATAATCATGATAAGACTACCATATTCCCTCTAAACATTTAATGACCAATGAACCTATAAAAATATTAAAATGCCCCTATAACTAGGGCTTTAATTTTTTCAATCAAATCTCAAAATGATAATTTAACTTTACATAAAAAGTCAGCCTTATCCTAAGCCTTTAATCTTTGCATATACAATATTTTCTTTTCCTACAATATAATATATCAATTCAAAAGTTTAATTTTTTTTTTCATGATCATATATTTTAAATTTTCATATATATTAATAGTTATAATGTAAAATAAACTCTCTTTGTAACAAATTTTGACAATTAGATCATTCAACAACTTCTCAAATTTTAAAAAGCATGAAACTTTTAAAAATTGTCCAACACTAGCATGAAAACATAAAATTAATATTTTTATCTATAATATATACAAAAAAAAAAAGTTTATTTGTGAAAACTTGAAATAAATCACTTAAAACTCAATATTTTTTTCTTATTTTTTTCCTCTTTGAATATAACAAATTTATAAAATAAGTTGCATAAATAAAAAGAAATTTATAGTGAAGTTCTACCGCATATAAATGAAAAGTCCTGCTTGAATAAGGAAACCTTTGTTTTTGCAGTCCAATAATGTTGTTGAACAATTTTAAATTTTTTGACCTAAACGCTTGGGTCTGTACTTAAACTACTTGGGTCTGGCAAACTAGTTATTTGGTGACCATGCCAGATACAAGGTGCTTAGATATGAAAAACATGTCTAATTTGATAAATAAGAAACAAAGAGAACTAATGTGCAATTTAATAATTATGAGAGAGAGAAAAGAAAGGAAACAATAAAAATAATTGATCTCTAGCGACAATCTAATCATTATTTATCTAAACACGATACACCATGTGGAAGAGGGTATGATTGCGCTTCTAGTGAGACGATGAATGACTAACTTTAGTCACCAAGAAGCGCCACACATACTTTTTTAATAGTGCGAGCCCCACCTACTTGTCAGAGAAGAAAAAGAAAAAGAAAGCCAAAAAAACATCTTGTGAAAAGCTATGAAATTAAAAATAAACTACTATTACAATTCATAGTAAAAGATCTTTTAATCTATAATAATTTCTTAACATCATTTAGCTTTTGTTATAATTACTAATGATATCATGAGATAAGTTTTATAATTTTAGATTGGAGTTAAATAAAATATAAAACCTTTCAATTGGCTTAGAGATTTTTTATTTTTTTCAGATCTAATATTCTTTTTCTCATGATATTTAGTTTAATTATTATCTATCTAGATCCTAGATTACTTAGAGAAAATTACAAATAAAATCAATAAAAATTTTCAGATGTGACAAATAGACTAAACTACACGTCTATATCCAATAAATAATTAAATAAAACTTAAGAATGCATTAGGGTTTTTTCTTTTTAAATCCACAAATTGGCTCCCTTTCTCTTGGAAACCAATTTTCATTTCTCTAGGTAGAAACAACTTTTTTTCCTTAAAAATTTAAATTCTTCGATCTCTTTTGAATATTTATTTTAATTTTCATAAAATTAAAGAAAAATAGATTTGAACATAGTTATTGAGTTTGTATCCTATTCTTATACAATATTTGTATTTACATCTATTTCTTGTTTTTTTTGTATGAAAATTAACTTGTTTTAATAATTAATTGGTGTTCACAACTTTTTTTTTCAGGTTATATTTTTTTTATTTCATTATATTAAGTACATATATTATTAACATATTTCATTACGTGCAAAACACATTCATATTATTAGCACTTTTTTCTCCTGCATTACAAATTAACTTCAACATAAATATAGTTAACCCTAAACAAATTTTTGAAAATATTGGTAATAATAAACACCTAAGGACTCTTTGCTTTGAAAGAAAATAAACTATTCATAAAAAAATGGTAATTAAAAACGAGCAAATCCACCATCATCCACAAATTACTCTAATTCCATTAGCACCAAAATTGTGCTCTCTAATGATAAGCAATTAGTTATCCAGACACAATCTACCGGACAGGATAGTGATTAGCACTAAATCACCCGAGCTGTTTCGACTTTCAGTTAGGCAAATCTTCAGATTACCTAAAATCCAAAAATTAGAGGGCTAAGCTAAGCTAATTACCAATTCTTGTCTGGCTCCCTGGTCACAATTCTTCTCATGGGAAGTTTACTTTTACCAATCTAACCAAAAGTCAATAAAAGTAAGACATAAAATCCTCCAAAATGTAATGTTCGGAAAGTAATCTCCGTACATATGATGAACACAAAAGGAATCTGTGTACACAAGATCAACCAGCACTGCCCTCCATTTACCCCAGAGGACAAATTAAAGTAAACCGGCTGCTATATATCTAGAGATTAGGCGGATTCAACCCAAGTAACCTTTTCCTTAGCCCTAGTAATCATCCACTCCTCGAAATCCTTTGCTTCATATGCAATCATCAGAATGCCTTCATTATCAAAACCATATTCTTCAGCTGATTTATAGAGAAGCTCCAAAAAACCTGCATCACAATGCAGTTTTGTATGAACAATGAACCGCCTGGCATCATTGTTAAACCCTACGCTAAGATAATCATGACCTTTAGGCGGCAATGGAGTCGTAACTCCAAGTCCCTTCACTCCTCGAGCTCCAATTAGTTTGCTTAACTTGCTAGCTTTCACACCTCGAGCTCCATATAAAGAAATGCATTCTTCTGTTAAGTACTCTTGCAAATTACTGATATATTCTTGCCACCTAAGTGAAAGAGGCATTTATATTAATATTTCATTTATAAAAAGGTACATGCCGTGACCACAAAGTTAATTGATACACATAATGTAATTATTTCTTAACCAATTAGATGATATAAATTGAGAGAACAAGAGATTCCAAGGCTAGAAACTTGTGGCTAGATTTAGTTTGTCACTTATCTTGCTGTCATTGTGAGTTTGTGATCAACAGCTTTGCGCACAGGATCTTGCCCTAAATTAGGTGTAAGAACTTGAGAAGGGTTTAAATATTTACTGATAATCACCAATCTAATTTTCAAAATAATTTCAGCATTTCTAATAACCATCAGCTCATATGGATAAAAAGAAAAAATCGAAAGGGTTTGAATGCTGACATCATATAGTTTGGTTTTTGCTTGTTCACATCGAGTCGAGTACTCACTTCTTCGTGGTTCAAAATATATGTAAGCAAATCAATACTAGCTAGCTAGGGCCTAAGGGTACAACTCACGTACTCATTGTGTACAACAGGATGGAAGAAGGGGCCATGGAAAATTTTAATTTCTTTGGATGGTTTATGATTATGATGTCTCATCTTCTTTTATTTCTTCCTTAACCAAAAAAACAAATCATTTTTCCAGCCAAATTGAAACATAAAAAATTATGGGGCACGAAAGAGTCAAAATCACATATAGACATGAGGCATCAATTAACTAGAGAATATCAAGTTCAGTTCCAACAACCCTCCAAATTATATTAAAAAATGACTGGTATTTTCTAAAGTTAAATTAAAAGGCATCGTCGTTTAATCAATGGAGTGGTTTTGCATTAATTAGCTATTTATGCAACATACTTTTATAACTAGCTATTCAATAATCCAATCAGAAACCAAGAAAGATCCATCACTGTACTCTTTTAAGTGTTTCTTTATTAGTATCAGAACCTCCAAGAATGTTTTCATGTTGATTTGAGTTTTGCCATGAAAATGTTCTCTGAACTCTTGAATGATTATTAACAGTAACTTTCTATGCAATTTGAATTAGATCATGAAATATTACATGAATGTTGTTGCTATATATAGGTAGATTAAATCTAGAAGTTTGAATTTTTTTTACCATGAGTTATAAGCATGTGAGGTTTCAAAAGTGCTTGATTTATAAAGATTAGTATTATAAACATTTTGAAGGGTAAAGGGGACTTTTCCTGCTAGGAAGGCCAAGGTTCTTGGGTGCAGCAAGCCTAGCATGGCAATTCAATGTTGTATAGTGTTAATGACGATCCATTTCTACTACTGTAATGTAGACTTGATGACTGTCTATGTGTTTAGGTTAATGATACTTTGATGTGTGTGTGCGCTTAAATTGGAAACACTAGGTTAATGATACTTTCATCGGTGAGAAATAAGTACAAGCTGTTATTCATTCTCTACTAGATAATTAGGAGCGTATGAAAGTTAACCTGCTCATAACGACAAAATCAAAACTTTTAATGATGTTGGTTGGCACATTAAACTGGAGAAAGAATGTTCAGTGATGATCATACTTCCATGCACGATGAATATGGCTGAGCTAGACTCTTGAAGGATAGCTGGCTCTACCACGAACGAAAGCAGCTCTGCAATTATAAGGGAAAAGAAGGGAAACCAAGCCTTAGTCAAAAAAAGAAGTTACCAAGTTTTGATAAGAACAAGATGTTGAACAAAACTCGCTTTGGTTTTGCTCTAATTAAAACACACAGCTAACTTTTTCTCGTTATTATTTACTTATGTATATTTATAAATGTTTAAGGTGGCTATATATATCCTTATGAGTTTTATTTAGACTAAGACTTATTTTTTATATGACTAAGGTTTATTTTTATCTAACTAGCTAACTTCTATTAATGATAAAACTCTGATAAATAATAATCTAGTTATAAGAAAAATACCATGACTTCAGCTCATCATGGATCTACACCATGACTTCAGCTAATCAATTATCTTATTCTATGATTAGCACCTTTGTTTTATTATGTTTCCTAAATAGTTGCACTCGTGTATATTTCTTTACTAGCTTTCCTTACATAGTTACACGTTTTGTAATATATATAGGCAATACTGTTCAATGAATATCAATTAAGTTATTCACCAAAATCATTCATGAAATCCTTTTATGGTATCAGAACCTTCTTTGTATCACGAGGTTAGAAACACTCTTTATCTCTATAGCAATCGGTAGTAACCCTACTTCTTTTTCAGAGTCTACTGCATCTTTACTCCTTCTCGTTACCATCAACATCTCCAGCCAATTACCATACAAACTTACATCCTCAAATTATCCTTCCTGACGTGCAATTTTTCTCACTATTCTCATTGGATATGATCTAATGAAATATTTGGAAGGCACTTTTGAATGCCCTCCCACACCTGATGCACACTCTTTTACCTCTGTTGTAGCACTTCATGCACATTAGAATAGACAGGACCAGTTGCTGCTAAATATTATTTTTGCTTCTATTTCTGAAGCAGTTATGCCCCTTATTGCTATGACCACAACAAGCCGTGATGCTTGGCAACATCTTGCCCGCTTGCTTGCTAGCAAATATTGGGTTAGAATTATGCAATTGAAAGAAGACCTTACTCTTATACAAAGGGGCTCTCGCACGGTGTCTAAGTTTTTCCATGCAGTTAAGGTAAATGCAGACGAACTCTCTCTGATTGATGCACCCATTTCAGATGATGATTTGACATTATATGTGCTTAATGGACTTGGCTCTAAGTTTAGAGATATGGTGGCACCTATGCGCACAAGAGAAACTGCCTTATCCTTTGCAGAATTACATGACTTTTTAATTGGCCATGAACAATATCTCAAACGCATGGATGCCACTCTTTTTTAACACTGGTTGTCATTGCAAACACCTCTTAACGAAGGTCCTCTAATCCGTGTTTCAGAAACAATAAAAATCATTTCAAACAGAATTTTTCCAACACTGCTTCTCTCAAATAACCCTCTATTTTGTGCCAAATATATGACCGTCCTGGTCACACTACTAAGAATTGTATCAAATTGTAGTCTTCACCCACTGCCAATTATACTACTTCTTCGACTCCATAAAAAGACAAATGGCTTCTTGACTCTGCTGCCTCTCACAATATCACGTCTGACTTGGCTAATCTCTCCATTCACTCTGAGTATAATGGCCAGGATGAGGTGGTTCTTGGTGATGGTATAGGTTTGCATGTTGCTCATATTGGTTCCACCACTGTCTCTTCTCCTTCTCGCTTTTTAACTTGAAAGAAACCTTGCATGTGCGCCTCATTTATAAAAACTTGATCTTCGTTCATAAGTTTCCTCTTGATAACAATGTTGTTATTGAATTTCACCCTTTTTTTTTTATCTTGTGAAAGATTCAAAAACGGGGACAGTACTCATACGTGGTAGATGTGAAGATAAAGTTTATCCAGTGGAACTCTCCTTCATTGCAAGCTAATGCCATCACTTTGGATGGAACTCGTACCTCTTATAATTGCTGGCATCATAGGCTGGGACATCTCAGTTCACAAACTTTATCCTCTCTTATTAATAGTTATCATTTACCTGTGTCCTCCTCTAAGTCTTCATTATCGTATGTTTCGTGTCGGTGCAATAAATCCCATAAATTGCATTTTAGTGTTACTTCCCTCACAAGTCATAATCCTCTCAAATATTTGTACGCTGATGTTTGGGGACCATCACCGGTTCCTTTTGTTGATGGTTACCACTATTATGTACTCTTTGTCGATCATTTTACCAAGTATTGCTAGTTTGTTTAATTTACCACTATGGTTGAAAATTAGTTTTCTAGAAAAATTAAAATTTTTTATTATAACAATGGTGGTGAATTTATCAAACTCAGACCTATTCTTGTTGTTCGTGGTATTAGTCATTTTACTACTGCACCACATACTCCCTAACAAAATGGCATCGTTGAACGCCACCATCGATATATTATCGACACCGGTATGACTCTCTTACATCATGCTTCGGCTCCTTCCACTTACTGGAATTATGCCTTAGCCACATCAGTCTATCTTATTAATTGTCTTCCCACTAAATTACACTCACGTCCAAGTCCTTTTGAAGTGTTATTTGGTCGGGCTTTTGACTACAAAAAGTTGTGCACTTTTAGTTGTCAATGTTATCCATGGCTTGTTCCATATTGTGAAAATAAATTTTAATCTAAATCCCAACTTTGTGTTTTTCTTGGGTACTCCCTCACCCAACATGCATTTCCATGTCTGAATATTCACACTAGTAAGATTTATTTATCTCGCTATGTTACATTTGATGAAAGCATTTTTCCCTTCAAAATAGCACCACCTTCAGCCGATCCTCCTTCTGCCATATAGTGTCAAGCATCTTCCCCTCCTCCTTCTGTTCCTCCAGTTTGCATGGTTCCATTAGAGACTCTTATCACCACACCTCTCGTGCATGATGGTGCAGCAACTGTGCCTCCTTCTTTTATACCAGGTATGCCCTCATCTTCTCCTCTCAATAATTCATCCTCCTCTGTCTCTTCACTTCCAGCTGCCCCTGCACTTCTTGGCCGAACACATCCCATGGTCACCCGAGCTCAAAATAATATCTTTTTTCCTAAGCAACTCTCAATCACCACCAAGCATCCTCTTGACCCACCATTAGAACCCACCTATGTCTTTCAGGCTCTCAAAGATCCTAGGTGGCGTAAGGCCATGGCAGTAGAATTCATTGCCTTAGTATCTCATGACACTTAGCGTCTGGTCACTCGCCTTTCTGCTACCAATTTAATTGGCTGTAAATAGGTGTTTCAGATTAAATGTCATCTTAATGGTACTATGGACCGCTTCAAGGCACGTTTTATAGCTAAGGGATTTAATCAAAGGTCGGGTGTTGACTATACTGAGACCTTCAGCCCAGTCATAAAACCAACCACTATTCGTCTCATCCTCTCTGTTGCACTATCACATAACTGGTCTCTCAAGCATCTGGATATTAACAATGTATTTCTTCATGGTCAGTTAAATGAGCAGGTGTTCATGCATC